ACCGTAGTCATTTTGGCTACGGGTGCAAAAGTCTCCTCATAGTCCACCCCATACTCCTGTCTGTTACCAAGAACAACCAATCGAGCTTTGTACCGATCAAGAGTTCCATCAGAATGAAGTTTGATTGAATAAACCCACTTACATCCAATAGGGCGGACATTTGAAGGACATGAAACAATGTCCCATGTGTCATTTTCTTTAAGAGCCAAAAGTTCTTCCTCCATTGCTTTCTGCCAACATTCATGTTTGGAAGCTTGTGAGTAACAAGATGGAACATATATGTTGGATAAAGTAGAGGAAAAGCCATACCAATTGGGAGTACGAGATACTCTTGTAGATCGCTGAGTAGGCTCAAGAGGACCAGATCTTGAAGAATTCTCAGATTCTAGTTGTGGTACAGTTTCAGGTGGCGGATCGATGTCGGGATAGGATAAAGTTGGCCGACGTCGTTCATACACAAATCCAGGTTTGAACCTTTAAAAGAAGATGATAAATCCTCAAAAGTAGGAAGAAGAGGAGAAACATAAGATGGATCTACAATCGTAGGAAAGAAATATTGATTCTCAAAGAAAACAACATTTCTAGAAATACGAAATTTGTGAGAACATGGATCATAGCAAATAAAACCTTTTTGTGAAGTACTATAACCCATAAAAGCACATTTAGTAGAGTGTACAGAAAGTTTATTGCTTTGCGAAGGAGGCAAATGAACAAAACAAACACAACCAAATGTATGAAAATCACTATAGTTAGGATTTTGGTGATAAAGACAAAAATATGGAGACTCAAGATTTAGCACTTTAGATGGCAATCTATTAATTAAATAGACAACAGTAGACATAGCTACCACCCAATATTTAGAAGGTACAGATGACTCAATCAATAAAGTACGAGTGACATCTAAAAGATGCCGATTTTTTCATTCAGCAACTCCATTTTATTGTGGTGTATATGGGCAAGAGTGTTGTGAGACAATCCCTTTGTCAAGCAAGAATTTTTGAATTCATAAGACATATATTCTCCACCAGAATCAGATCTTAATAATTTGATGCATGTAGAAAATTGAGTCTCAATGTAAGCCAAAAATGTCTTGAACATGGAAAATACTTCAGATTTGGATCGAAGAAAATACACCCATGTAAACCGACTATAATCATCTATGAATGTCACAAAGTATTTGAAATGAGCATGAGAAATAATTGGTGAAATGCCCCAAAACATCATTATGAATGACATCAAAACACTTTGTAGCACGACTACCAAAATTAGGAAAAGGAAGAGTTTTACTTTTGCCTAATTTACAAGTAGAACAATCAATGGAAGCAACTGAAAATTTATTTTTATTTCCCAATAAACCAGAATTTGATAAATGAGACAACACAACAGAATTTGGATGTCCTAGACGCTTATGCCAAACCTTAGTTTTACTAGTAGTAGAAGTACAAGCAAAAGATAGAACAGAAGGAATGGAAAAGTGTATAGGAAACAATCGTCCAACTTTAGGCCCCTTCGCGATTATCGTCCCCGACACCTGATCCTGCACAAGACAACCATTACGAGAAAAATTCACATCACAATTGTTATCTACTAATTGTCCAACTGAAATAAGACTAGTTGAGAGCATTGGTGAAACAAAAACATTCTTGAAAGTTGGAGTAATGTCCCCAACCTTGGTAATGGGTAAATTACTACCGTTGGCAATCTGTATTTGTGATGGACCTTGATACTTACGAACATTTTTTAGGATGCTCGTTGATTTGGTCATATGATTGGAAGCGCTTGAATCAACAATCCAAAAATTAGATGTAACATCATTACCTTGTAATCCCAATGCTGAAAAGGCTGACACGATCATTTGTTGTACCATTTCAGGAGTAAGAACTTGTCCTGAAAATGAGTTATCATCAGTGGAACCATTTATCCTAGCTTGAAAATCATTGATCTTACGATTTTGAGGGCGCGTGGGATACTCTTTAATAATGACTGTAGCATTGAGTTCTACTCATATCCCTGCCCTTTCCTTTAACTTGAGCAGCAAATGCAACAGTGACATCATTTTCTTTCTTAAAAGCATTTTGTGTGACAAGACGTTGCTCTTCACGAAGTAATTCCCTAAAGCAAACATCCAAAGAGGGAGACGGGTCACGATTCATCAAGTTAGAGCGAACACTCTCAAAGTCGGAGCGTAATTTCATCAAAAATTGGTCTCGCTTGCTTTGCTCATGAACTGCCTGAACCACTGATAGGGATTCAGTAGGTATTTTGGCATAGATAATATCTGTAAATTCAGCCCATAAGTTTTGAAATCCAGAAAAATAATCCTGAACAGAAAGACCTCCTTGAGAGTAATTAGCAATTTCATACTCCAACTGAAAGCGTCTTGCGCTATTATCTTGGTTGTAAACCTTTTGCAAGTAATCCCACATGGCCTTAGCTGTCTTGTACGGCCTGAGATTAAGAACAATAAGAGGGTCAATTGACCCTAGAATCCATGTCATCACCCGAGCATCTTTAATCTTCCATTCACCTAGCTTTGTTGCATCAGTAGGAGCAGGATCGCTTCCATCTATATGGCCCCATAGTTCTTTATCGGTGACAAATAACTGAAACTGAAACTCCCAAGAAGAATAATTTTTTCCAGTGAAACGAACACTGAAGGATTCAAAGTGATGTGAATTCATGCTTTTGAATAGCTATAAAACTACAAAGACTCAAGAAAGCAACTAGAATGACCAAGAACAAAATTCCCAGGAGGTAGCCAAAAACCAAGATTTTCAAAAAAAAAT